GAGGAAACTGTAAGTAACGATGCTGCTGCCTGCGCTGGTGTCTCCTCGGCTGCCGCTTTGGCGTCTGCCTGCCCGACCTCCCCTGGCACTTGTGACAGAAGCTGTAGGAGTCCGAGCTTGCCACTTAGGCAAAGAATGGATTTGCCCCTGTGACCTCAGTGCAGCTCCTGTATGCCTGTAAAACTATGATCCACCCCAGCCACGTCTTTCTTTGTAGAGTAAGGATTATATACTGCCCTTGGCTCTTACGATAGAAACATTACACTGAACTTGTTCCTCTTTACTGAAGGTATGCTCAAAAAATTGATGTCTTTTCTCCCCTTTGAGGATTTCTGCAAAGGGGTGGTAATATATTGTCGGTTTTATTTGAAATTTGTTTTTTGCAGAAGATAATTTGCTAAAGAGATTCTTTACTGGAAAGACAGGGAATCAGTTTTTTCCGTGTCACTAAATACTTTCCACAAGTGTTGCGTATTGCTCAAGATGGACTTAAACTGGCCCTTGAGGAATAACATGTTGAAATTAAAATGTTGGGATGATATTGTGAAATGTCCTGAACAGGAGATAGTCCCATGAGATTACTTGATTTGAATGTTTATCTGTCCTTACTGAAAGAAGAAAGAAGCTGCATCTGCTTTAAGCAACTCAGTGGTTTTAACTTGTTACTGGTTTGAAGTTTCCATTGTTGTTGTTTTTTTCTTTTGCAGATAACATTGTGATACAAGACATATTTATTGAAATATATTTTCTGGAATGAAGTAGACAAGCAACATAGAAAAGGTGCAACTATTTATAAGTAATGACAGTTCATTTATCTTTAGACGCGTATTTGTTTTTTGTGATTAACCCAAAAAGTCTTTGGTGGAAGCAAAGAAACAAATACCTTTATTTGTATAGACCTAAACTCTGCTGGAGGATAAATCATGCCGTTCACCTGAGAGTTTTTCATACAAGTGAGCCTCGGTGTAAATGGGCCAGAAGCAGAACATTTTGGTATAACAAATACATTTACAGCCATGACTTTTTATACTCCAGAGTTTCTAAACTTTTAACTTCTTCTTCCAAAGGACTTACAAAAGTGAACAATCGCATGTCACGAATTAAGAATACTATAGAATCTGTTTCAAAGGCAGTGTCTGGCACTCACAGTGAACTGATTTCTCGGATAGCTCGATTAAAGTCACACTCGGGTACTCTGGGAAAAGCAAATAAAAGTAGTGCAGATGCAAGTAGCATCAATGCAAATCTAGAAAATGATAAACAAGTCACAGATGCCAGAACTCAGGAGGATTGCAACACAGGCCCACCTGCAAAGAAATCCACTTGTGCAAGTGAAAGCCCGGAGTCTATGTTAGTAAGCTCAAGTGGTGCTGATCAGGATTCTCGGAAAGATTCAGCATTTACTGAAAACCAGCTTTTTCATATAAGCTACTTTTCTACAAATTTTGGAGAGACTTACAACTTTGTAGCTGATCATATCAACTCATACTTTAGTAAGAATTCTGTTATGGATCAAGAGAAAAAAAAGAATGCTTTATTACAGGACTCTAAAAGTGAACAGAGGAGTAAGCTTGATTCATCAGAAAATACTGCAGCAAGAGAAGAAAAGACAGTGGATTCAGCAGCTGCTTTTACTCCTCAAGCAGAGACTCTGGGTGCTGAAAAAGCAAATACTGCTCTTCCAGTTTCCACTAAAAAAAGTATTGCAAACTTTCTTTCGTATCCCAGTAACAGTGTACAAGCTTTTGTAGACAGTTACATTGGTGGGTTGGTTCCGAAATTGAGATCTGAAACAAAAGTTGTTTCACAAGAAAAGAGTAAACAGCCAGAACAAGAAGTGTCTGAGAAGGATGAGGAGGACAAAGCAAAAGAGGCTAAGACTGCTGAAGAGAAGGAAAAGCATCTGTCTCTTCAGAGAGAAAAGGTGAGTCTTTGTTCAGTGTTATTTCTTTATATATTTTTTCTATGTAGATGCGTATTTTATACAAGTGTATATATACTATATGTGTGTACATACCTATATGTAAACTTACATATACGTATATATACTTATGAACATAAATAAGTGTGTAACAATGTGCATATTTACATATATAAAAACTATTATAAACTTATATACACATACTTATGTAAGCTGTATGTAAACTTACATTATATATAATTGAGGACTTATATGTATGTATAGATGCATGGTAATGTGTATATACTTTTTATATAAGTACATATATGTATATTTTGGTTTTTATAAAAAGTGTTTATGTGTATGGTGTTTACATAACTTTGGTTCATATATATGTAGAGAGAGAGTGCATAAATATAGTTAGATTTAGTTGATTTTGTTGTTGTAGTTACAGTAATCTTACACTTCTTCATGGTCCAAATACTATGATTTCAGAGTTGCCCTGAAAATTTATCTGAGTATGTGCTGACATGTTTGTTTGATATATTGGTGCTGTGAATCACCTTTATTTATCTTGTAAATAAAGACTCAAAAAGTTATCTGTTTACATTTAAGCAATGTTTACTTGGAGCCTGTAGCAGATCTGTAGTACAACGTGCTGTCCCTTACTTCGGAGAAATCTTAAAATAACAGTTTAGAGTTAGTGTTGACAAATTTTACACATTTCTGAAAATAGGTTTATGTTATTTTTATAACTTTATCTTTTTTTAGATCATTGCAAGAGTGAGTATTGATAACAGGACTCGAGCTTTAGTTCAAGCCCTACGAAGATCCTCTAATCGAAGAGTCTGTATCAGCAGGGTTGAAGAACTGACCTATCATCTTCTAGAATTTCCAGAGAGCAGAGGAGTTGCGATTAAGGTGCAGATAGTCTTTATGCTTAGACAAAAAAAATAAATATCTGCCAGTTGGTTGACACAGAATAACATAAAACTTTCTTCTGTTCTTTTGTGGGCTAGTAATATTTTCTATTTGCAAAGATTGTAGTGTGAATGCCTCTTAGAGCTGTTTTTTTAGCTGGTTCAAGCAGATTTGTATGCAAACTATCCGTAGTTCAGCTACAGGCTTTTAAGATTGTAACTTTTAATTTAGAAGCCTACAGCATTGTCACGTGGGTAAATGTAGCTTATTCTAGTGGTGGATGAAGGTCGTACGCTGTGTCCTCTGTAGCAATTGACCAGATAGGAATGTACAGTACGGTCGATCTGCCTACGCACAGCAGTGTTTATGCTTGTTTGCATGCTTCCTTCGAAGAGACGTGACAAGAGTGAAGTATAACCATCAAATAAGTTCACGTACTCTAATCCTACTCGTTCTCTTTCCTGCAGTGAGGGGACAGGAGGTGGGTGGTAGGTTATTGTATCAGTAGGAGCCAAATCACAGCATTTGTCAGTCTCATGCTTTTTTCCGCAAGATATGCAGATGTGTGTCATAGATTGTAAAATTGCTGGAAAAGAGATCTTTGGGAATGGTGTGCAGGCCATTGAGCTCTTTAGCCTTTAGCTACACTTGATGTGCTGTGTGTTTGAATTTGTATTTGGCCAATGCGATGTTAAAGTCAATAAAACAAAACTGCTGTTAAATACAGGTTTTCTAGCTGTTTGAAAGATTTACATTTCACCTTGACTGTTCAATATTGATAGGTAGTTACTTTAGCAGTGAGGTGTGTATGACGTAATATTGGAGTAAGTTCTTACCCTTTGTACAGATGGGTAAATTTAAAGAAGTTTTCCTCTGAGTTTAACTAATATCATAATTTTTTGTTTAAATGCCAGACTTGAAAATTTAGGCCTGGCTTTTTTTGGTATGAACATGTAGTTAGAATGAAAAATCTTTGTATTTATCAATAGGAAAAATTAATCCCGTGCCTACTACGACTGAGACAGGCAAATGACGAAAGTCTTCAGGCTGCTGTTAGAGAGACTTTAGCGATAATTGGATATACAGACCCTGTGAAAGGCTGGGGAATTCGAGTCCTCACTATTGATGGAGGAGGAACAAGGTAAAAGCTCTGTTGTTTTCTTTATATGCTTGTAGCCTTTTTCATACTGTAACTGGAAATAAAATTTTAGTTACTCTTTAATAAGTTTGGGTCCAAAGATGCAATTTAGGATATACAGTTCTGTTGCAATTGACTATCCAATCTGAGTATTCAAGTGGTGAGTATTATTCTTGCATGCAATTGTGCTTAAATTTTCATGCATTAGTAGTCCTATGGCACTGAAATTACTTTTTTACCCATTTAAAGTTAGTTACACGTATAAGTGCTTGGATTGGCTCTTTCTTCTTTTGGAAGTAAATTGAGTAGTTATTTGAGTTAGTCCACTCAGAGGTTTTATCTCAGAAATACAAAATTAGTGTGGAATGCTAGAGTTAGTTTATATTCTTATTGTTGTGTTGTCTTGTACTTTTATGGAGAGTGGTCTGCGTTAGCAGGACTGGTCTCATACGAAGGAATGAATAGGCTAGTGGTGAAAGCTATTCCATCTGTGACATTGATTTATATTTCTACAACTAATGCTTTTTTCCCCTCTTTAATTTATGCACCACGTGTCCTTAGCTACATGTGCTCTAGTTCTGTGTGAATTTATGCACCTACAGTTTGTAAAGTGCAGTAGCAGAAGCCTGTTGATTAAAATCAAAGTCTGATATTTACTAGAAGCTGTGTTTTCAGGCATATTTCAAAATCTTGTTGGCAAATATTTACAGATTCACAAAGCTTTATGGGTACAAAGTGAAGTATGAAATCATTGCAGAAATACAGTTTCACGAACTATTTGTTTTCCCATGATATTTCTTTACTTGCATTTCAAAATCGGTTATCTTCAGTAAGGAGTGAGTGTATGTCACAACTTCAACATCTGTGTTTCCAAAAGTTTGTGGTGAACCATAAAGATTTTTCAAAGTAGAAAGAAAGATGCTTCACAGATAACTGCTTGATGTCTATATTTATAAATAAAGTGTGTTAATTTTTCTGTTAGATTTCTAGGGGAGTGACATTATAAGCCACCTTACATTTAGAAAGCAGCATCTACGTCTGCAAGACTAAGTGAAAAAAGTTCAGAGGATAAGCCTAAGTGCTAACTAGTGGCTTTTGTGCCACATAATTGGTAGTGTTCAGCTGATTATAGTTTTGGCCTGGATTGACTGCTGCTTTTCAGCACAATGCAGGGCAGATTAGGGGGCAGCATGCAGGAGATGCCATTCTTAGCAGAATGTGTTGAGATGGTCCTTGGTTTGATGCTGCTTTTGCTAGACACAGTTCTCCAGTTCTACAGCAGCAGAGTTAGCACCTCTGCGTGCCACATGCTTTGCTTCATGCTATAGAATTATGAGGCTTATGGTCTGGAATGCATCTCTCTCATCATTTCAGACACATTAAATTGAGGCAAGAAAACAAAAGATAGAAAAATATTATGCCCCAAGGGGCGTTATGTAGCCCTGTTAAGATCAAACTTTAAGCACTGTGTTCTGTGGATGCAGCTAAAATCTGTCCTTAGTCTACATATGCAGATGATCTTCCCTGAGCCTTTGCTACAAGTATGGCTGTTGCTGTTAAGTACTGGTTTAGTGTGCCTGGGTACATAATTTATATTTATTATTCATTGTTCTAATTGTTCTGTTACTTTTTAATTTCCTGAAATATTCAGGATTCTTACTGTTGTAGTTATTCAGCTGTAACTAGTTATAATTAAGCAAAGGTGGGCTTAGTTAGAGCTATGTAAGATAAAACTACCTTTATATGTGAAGGGGATTTTTGTGTTTCAGGGGTTTAGTTGCACTTCAGACTCTACGGAAACTAGAAGAACTAACTGGAAAACCGGTTCATCAACTTTTTGACTACATCTGTGGTGTAAGCACAGGTAATGGTTATGCTGTGAGTTGGAATTTTGCTATCAGTGTAGTATAAGAACATCGGAAAAAAAATTTAGATTTTGCAGAACTTGACAGTTTTGGACGTTGAGTGTAAGTTGGGAAAGTACCAACTCTTATTTCTAAGGTCTTTTTTCTTCCGAGTAAGAACTTTGAGTCATTCGTAATACACTTGTAACTTCAAGCTGATTTATAATTTTTTTCAATGAATGTGATACCTTCATTTTGCACACAGATACAAATATCTTGCATGTTTATGAGGCTTCACAGACAGCTAAGGTAATGTCCCTCAGGGCCTGGTACTTGGCCGGTAGTGTATTGTGTCTTTATAAATGCCTGGCACAGAAGGACAGAGTGTTCCTGTAGCAAGATCTTGGATGATCTAAATTAGAGGAAGTGGTCAGTTCGGGGATGCTCTCTGTTCAGATTGGCTTGTAGAGGCTTGAGAAATGGCCAGGAACCACCTCAGGTTCAACAAAGCCACATACAAAGCCATTCATCGAGGTGGGCTGAGTGGGTAGAAACCAGTTCTGCAGAAAAAGACTGGATCTTCTTGGAACAAGCTGAAAGTGAATCATCGGTGTACCCTTGCAGCAAAAGAAAGCTGGCCACATATTGGCTTCTATGCACAAGAACATATCCGATAGATTAAAGGTCTCTTTTTGACCGCTCTGTGTCTCGGGCTCCTTGGTAAACTCTTGATCTGTTGAGTATGTTCTTGTACCTAACGAGTCTGGCAGAGGGCTAGCTAGATGATCAGGAGACTGGAGGTCATGACATGTCAAGAGATTTCAATAACTGGGTTTGTTCAGCCTTAAGGAAAGAAAACCAAAGGAAGGCCTTATTGCTGTTTCAACTAATGGGAAAATATAGATAAGATGGAGCTAGGCTCTTCTTGAAGATTCACAGTGATAAGAGAAAAGCCAACAGACAAGCTGAAATATGGGAAGTTACAATTAAATATAAGGAAGGATGTTTTTCTTGCAAGGGTGGTCAGCCACTGGAAGGAGTTGCCTGCACAGGCTGTGGAATCTCCATCTGTGGAGATATTATAAACTGAGCTGAACAAGACCTGAGTAACCTGTTCTGATTGAACCTGTTTGAACAAGGAGGTTAGACTAGATGACCTCTAGAAGTTTCTCCCAGGTTTATTTACTCTTGTGACTCCATGGTAACTTACTCTTCCCTAGGAAATAGGGGTCCCCTAAATGGAATTTTATTTTTAAAAGACAGTGATCTCTTTTGGAAATTATGCTAGTAGCATGATCCTAGTATTTTGATGCTAGTAGCAGCATAATACTGATTTCTAGTCTAAGAGACATGCTGTAGTTCAATAGTTTCCTTTAGAAACCCATGTTCTTAGTTTTTTGCACTATACCTCCATACAGTTTAATTCAGAAATAACACTAAATGCAGTTCACTAGGAATATATATAATAGTTGTGTTTCCAGAGATTTACTTAATAGACTCAAAATAGTAGAAAATAGAATGTTTAGGTCTACTAGAAGGATTTTTTGGTAGGCACAGTATAGTTTCCTCCTTTTTTTTTAAAAAAGAAACCCAACTTTTGGTCTTTGAAAGACATCCTTTGTTAGTTAATTTATGGCATTTTCTTTGGAAGATAGTTTCACTACAAAATACTAATGTCTCCTTCAGTCATAATGAAGACACCTTTGAGAGAGAGGCCTGGTGTTCTTAATTTGATCCCACTGTTCTGACTAGAACTTTTTTCTTAATTCTTCACCAGATTTTGCATTTTGTAACTCCTAGTAAGTATTTAACTTCTGAGCTTTATGTTATCAAACTTTTGTCTGCAGCAGTCCACTTTGGAATTATAAGTGACAAGACATGACTGGGAGAGGTTGTACATACCTGTCAGCGTGTGCTGGCAGTGTTCTTCACCATTTCAGTTTGTGCTGATGGTACACAGGCCGATAGGATTTGCAGTTGCACGGATTGTGGTTTCCAAGAGGGATGTATTAAAGGATAGGAAGGATGCTGCTTGTGCGTCATAGTTCTGCTCTCTTAATGTGGTTTAGTTCTTTTGCCTTCAAGGTTTAGAAATAATTGGTTTGCTGTGAATTCCATGTCATCATACTTAGCTTCCTTGTACTTCCCTGGTCATCCTAGGGTGTGAATGCAGGCAGTCACAGAGCAGGATCACTGTAATGAGTCCTGCATAGTTCGGTCGGTTTCCTGTTGCTGGGCATGGAAGCACTGGAAAATCAGCAAGCACATGCAATGCAGTGATGGCCACTGAACTTTTTTTTACGGCCAACTAAATTGATGTAAATTCTGTACCGAGTTTGTACTCGTTCTGCACAAAAATAAGTGCCGTTGCCCCATGAACCCAACTGCTAGGAATTCTGTAAGTGAAGGTGATGATCACAGCTGTCTAGAGCATGACGTGCTTCCAGAGATGTACAGAGCACTCAGCCCACAGGGGACAATTTATCTGCAGGTATGCTGTGGATGTGGCTTCTGTGTTCTTTTCACTGCTCATTTAGTCTCCAGATATGAGTGCACCACTATTGAGAAGTATCTTTGATATAATTCAGTCACAGGAAGCAGTTTATAACACCAGGAGTATGTAATAAGGCAAAATGCATACAATCACTTTTTCAAATATGCTGGCCTGCTCAAAGAATTTTAAAACCATACTTTTTTTCCTAAATTTCTTTACTGAGCTAATAGTGGCACTCAGGTGCATCGTATGAGATATTTGATCACTGACATACTTTGATCAAAGTTTCTCTAAGCGTATTGTTTTCCAGTGCATTTTACTGCAAAGACATCTGAATTGTACTGGTATCTTTGATTGTCAGTTTGGATGTATATGAATTTCACATAACAACTTCATATAAAAATATTCTCCCAAAATATTCCTTCCAAGTTGTTAAGAACAGCACAGGGATAGTGCCCCAATGTATTCTTTCAACCTTCAGTGACTGCAGATCAGGAGCCTCCTTAAACAAAGCTGACATCTCTCTATGTTAATGATTTATTTTTTTTCCCCATGATGTCTTCCCAGTTTTGAAATGCGTTTTGGAAACCTTTCTGATGGAAGAAATATTTTCTTCAGGAGAATCATAGAATCATAGAATGGCCTAGGCCAGAAGGGACCTTAGAGATCATTTTAATCCAGCCTCCCTGTCATGGCCATGAATAAAAGTCAAATGATGGTATTATAAAGCTGGAAGCGTCCTTAGAAGGTTATCTCATTTCCCACGGGAAGAGTCAGCTGTGTGTGTTTCACTACTGACAATTTCCTGAGATTTTTAATCATATCAGACCTCTTCAGAAAAATCTGTGCTAGTGCTCTTCTGTCTTTAAAGCAAGAAAATTTCAAATGTATAGTGTGGATCTTCCCGTTTCAGTTCAAATTTGTTTCCTCTTGTCCTCACTCCACAGGAGCATGGATAACATTTATTCTTTTGTGTTTGCAGCAGCCTTCTGTGCATTTAAAGGCTTTTGTTGTAGCCTGTTTACTCAAGCTTTCACTACGGTCTGATTTCCTTGACCTGTGATTATTTTGGGTGAGACTTTTTTGTGTCTTTTTTTCAGTTGGTCCACATCTTTCTTTGAAGAATATCATTCAGATATAGCACCTCAGCTGAAGTCTTGCTCGTATTGAATAAGGAAGGAATACTTTTGTCTTTCACATTATATTCTTCCCTGTGTTGTGCCTTATTAGCCAACTCTTCTTTAAGAAATGCTTGTTAGCTTCTCAGGTTTATATTTAGGTATTTTTTTTTTCCCCTGAAGCACTGGCCATCAAGGCTGAGGTGGTGGCTAGAGTGTAGGAGTCAGTGATACAGGGCAGGATGTGATCAAAGTCTCAAACTTTTTTCACTAGACTATCTGATAGAGCCTGCCCTATCTTTGATTTTGACTTTTTTCTCCTGCGAGTGTCTTTTTACCATCCAGAAGATTTCAGCAAAGCCCTTTAATGTGTACCTTGGCTCTGATCCTACCTGCTGCCACTTGTGTGCCGATGTGTTTTTTGTGCTGTTACTTGGGAGGTGAAGTGAAAATAAATGGGTTTGTGTTTGTTAGGAATTTTGATTCTTCGTCTTTGAAACTGTTCACCAAAACGACAAATGCATAATAATGTAGAGTTGGGGCTGAAGAGCTAAAAGAAAAAGGAGGTAGCAGAGGATTTACAGGAAAATGACTCAGGAAAATGGTGTTTCTCTTAGTCTGTGTTGAATATGGGCATTTGGTGATGTGTTTCTCTTGATGAAACTTTGATGTGTCAAGTAGGCTCAGGTTATATTAAGCAAGTGTGCTGCATTTTTAAAAAGTGAGACCATCAATCACAGAATGTTTTAAGTTTGAAGGGACCTTTTAAAGGTCATCTAGTCCAACCGTCCTGCCATGAGCACGGACAACTGCATCAGGTTGCTCAGAGCCTCATCCAACCTGACCTTGAATGTTTTCAGGGGTGGGGATTCTGCCACCTCTCTGGGCAACCTGTCCCAGTGTTTAACCACCCTCATTGTAAAAAATTTCTTCCTTATATCTAGTCTAAATCTGCCATCTTTTAGTTTAAAACTATTACCCCTTGTCCTATTGCAACAGGCCTTGTGAAAAAGATTGTCCCGATCTTTCCTATAGGCCCCCTTTAAGTACTGGAAGGCTGCAATCCACTAGCAGTCAGCTCATGGCAGTGGGGTTTGTGAGATCAAAAGAAGCTTGGAAGTCATGTTTGCTTTAAAACTCATCTGCAACTTTCTTGATGTACTTCTTTCTGCATGTGTGTTTTATCCATACTCTTATTTCAACGATTTACTTCTGATTTAAATGAACTTTATTCAAACTTATTGCATTTGTTTCCAAATTGGAAAAATCACATGTCCTATTTATTCCCAGTGCTTAATTGTGTGTGCTTACAGTATAGCACAATTAGATTTAAAGGTTGTATATGTCCTTTTCAGTTTAGTTATATCTAAGAATTGTTGTGATGCCTTAATTGTATTTTTTGTCTTTTTAATCATATTCTGCAAGAATGCTTTTTGGATACTCTTCTTTTGTTCCTACAAGGTAGATGATATTTTTTTTTGGGCACACACTAGATGGCAGTATGTATGAATGACTAATCATAAATGATTGCAATGAAAGGTATCCTAGACTAGTCAAGACTCCCTTCTTTTTACAGAATATTCCTAGAATTTTTCTTAACTGAACCAGAGTCTGCCAGATGGCAAGTAATGCTCCAAATATATTTTTAATACCACAGCGTAGATTTCTCTTACTCATATCTCTTTCCAAACAAAGCAGTGGATTTAGTTTGCTTTCTGCCATATAATTGTTTGCAGGGATGAAAACTGCAAAATGAAATAATGCCGTTTTTCAACTTCTCATAGTTCTGTTTTTGGAAGAAGACTCTTTTTATGTTGTATATGACCTTTTAGAACATAGTGTGTGATCCTGAACATAAATTTAGTGATATAATTGTCAACTGTTCTTCTGTTTTCAAGATAGATATTCTGCTAACCTCTGAATTACATTAAATGGTTATCCATCTTTATAATCTTACTCCAGGCTATATTTTACATTACAAAATATTTCTTTTTCAGGAGCTATATTAGCTTTTATGTTGGGGTTGTTTCATATTCCTCTGGATGATTGTGAAGAACTGTATCGCAAATTAGGATCAGATGTTTTTAAGCAGAATGTCATTGTTGGAACAGTCAAAATGGGTTGGAGCCACGCCTTTTATGACAGTGATATATGGGAAAAAATGCTCAAGTAAGTAAAAATGATCAGGTAAAAAATAATTAGTATTATGTCTGAGAACCTTCAGTTTTGTTATTGTTTCGCTAGTAAGCAAGTTCTTTAAACAGCTAGAAAGGATTAGCATATACTCTCATTCTTTTGAAATAGCTCATTTCATATTTACCAAAACACTGAAAGCCTTTGATGTAATGAGTTGTGTTTCTGGGAAATAAAGTAAGCTCTAGTGCACTGATTTCTGATTATATTCCTGTATGCTTGCCAGCTCTGCTTGATTTGACTCATTATAGATCTGCTACAAATTTTACTAACCACCTGCTGTGCTTTTTTTTATAGGAGACATGGTGAGAAATGAAATTACGAGCTGTAGTAGTCATTTTTAATCTTAGCTGCTATATTGAGGGGGTTTGCCCATTGCCCCTTTGTTTGGGAAATGGGCTCGAAGGATTGCAATGAAACAGTATCTGCTTAGTCAGAGTTGCCAATGAAAAGGTATTTGTTCGTAGATATTTATCCAAGTGCATTAATGGCTATTAAGAAAGCATCAGTGGAAGAAATTAGTCTATTACAAGTTCTATTACTTAGTTTTATTCATCTATGTATTGATGGTTCCATTGTTTAAAACCTTTAGCAAACAGTGTAAGCTGGCATTGCTACTGAAAGAACTGAAACAACCTTCTTTGAGAGCAAACAAAAAATGGTTAAAACTGTCTTTGGTTAAGTGGTAAGTTCCTTTAGGAACATGATTAATGTGTTCTATGGGAATGGAAGGGGTTTTTTTTCTCAACTTTATAGTGGGAATATCTGTGGTGTCTGAGTTTTAAGCATCTCAGGTTTTTTTGCTGAAGTAGAGAGAGCAGCTTTCAGGCACTTCTTGTGCTTTTGCATATTTTTAGGAATAAATGTGTTTGTCAAATGAATGTCATGAGTGTTCTTTCTCAGATATCTGGAGTTCCTCTTTTTTTTTTTTTAGAAAAGAGGTCTGTTCTCTGCCTTCCCTCTTCTCATCCCCTGCCCAGCTAGAAGTCTTGTGAAAATCAGAATTACCTCATGTTACAGTATTTCACATGTCTAATTAAAATGCTGTTATTCATTGCAGCTACTTGTAACACATGAAGGAGGTAAAGCATGCCTGTCCAGTGGGCAGAAGCCAGGCAGTTATTTTATTATCCATAGATTAAATGAAAAATTAAATTTACTGATGAATTAATTTTTCTGGATTAAATTCTGCAATGCTGAAGGGAGATGCTGTGCCTACACAACATTTTATTGAAACAGTAGGGGTTTGGGCAGGCTCGCATGTGTTGTGGAAACCTAGAAGCAAGAAGGGAATTGAGAGATTCTGTAGTGTCTCTTTATCGTAGTAAGAAGGTCAGGTCTAAGTTTCAGTCATTGCATAGGAAAGCTGCTTGATTTTTTGTTTTAAATTTAAAAGCCTTGCTTGTGCTAGGTGCGTTTTTATCGTTTACATGATAGTAAACTTTGTCAGCCTTGATCAAAATAGGGAGTATCTGTTTTCACAATAATACAAGCATGCAACAGACTTAGCCCTACCACGATATTGATGATGTTATTTTCTGCCAGAAAGTATTCTTTCTGAAAATAATTAAGCTAATGCATTAGAGTAATAGCATGCATTCATGAGACGTATTATAAATTCAATTTCAGAAAATTACAACTGATTTTCGTTAACTACCTTTTTATTCTGGATGCTGTGAGGAATTGATTTCATGTCTTACATGTTTATTTTAACTCTTCTTATGTATTCCTTGAATTGCAATTTGAGGACTTGTTTTAATCGGTTACTTTTATCACTCTGTGCAGAAAATTATGCTTAGCATCAGTCAATTATACTATGTATCAGTCTATGTAATGCTATATTGAATTGCATTTGTAAGAAGAACCTGGCTTATAGTTCCAAGTTTTCGCTTTTCTCTCAAGTGTTGCTTACGTGTGCAATTTTCCTTTCATGCTGTTAAGAAACTACTGGAGAAACTTGATGAGCAGCTAGAGGTTCTTACAAGCTAAAATCCCAAACCAGGAATTTGTAATCCTGAGAAGCAATCGAGCACTCTATAGAGGGTAGGGTAAAAATTACCTGTGCTCTGCTGGCAGGAAAATGAGTAATGCATGTGTTCAGGATTACAAGTAATAATACTTCAAACCAGTATATGTTACGCAAACTGAAGTAGAAATTGAAGCAGCTCCCCAGTGGCTAGATGGCCAACGTGTTCTGTACTAGTTAGTCCAGAAATATGTGACGCATTTTGCAGCTTATCCGGCAGATGTTGTGTGTCCTTCTGGAACAGGCAAAGTGTCACCTGTAGGTGGAGTAAAGATGTTACAATATCCTGGTAATTTTGTTGTTGTTCCAAGGGGTAAAAGTTACAATTTTGCCTTGCTCCAGACTGTTTGATGTGGCTTTAGCCCTGTAGGATGTTTCTTTAAGCATATAGTTGGCAATATGTTCTTCATAGCATTATTGAAACAAGTGTTGCAATATTAGTGAGTTGAAGCAATGAAAGAGCAACATTTGTAAAGGAGACTCGTTTAAGTAGGTCATGTCTAGAGGACATCGCTCACAGACAGAAACAAAGCAGATAAATGCAAAAATAGGTTGGCAAACAAAATTATATGTAAAGTAATAACCCATGAGCGGAAAAATGTAAAATGCTCACAGGATTTAAACTGACTTTAATATCAAAAATGATTTGGGTGTTGTCGTGGACAGTTTAATGAAACATCTGTATGCTTGTGGTCAAACAAGATGATCAGTATGGGATGGTTGGGATGGAAAATACAGAAAATACTCTAATGCCGTTATATTAATCCATAATTCAGTTTTAAATTAAAATAGTATTTACAGTCTCACCCCATTTTAGGAATATTTCTGTTGCAAGGCAAAAAGTAACCAATGACTTAAGGACAACTCTGGCAAAGAAATTAGGATTCTATCATTTTTTAAAAAGCAAACAAGTTAAAGTGGTATTTTGGCAGAGTAAGATATTTTAAGAATTACCTTTCTCATCTCCAAGAACAAGGGACTATTCAGTAAAATCAAAATTAAGAGACTTTCTTTTCTGATATGGTGTGTGAATAAGTTGTGTAATTGTGTTGTGACTCTATATAACGTGCAATTACAGTGTTATTGCTAGCAACAAAAGTAGGATTAATTTGGCGGTGATATTAAACTTTTCTCTTTCAACTTTAATGTCCAAGTTGCATAGTAGTTTAAGGGATTTCTTGTACTCTGAATCATCAGTTCTTGGCCTTCAAAAGAAACAAGATGTGAGAAATATTCAGTTTGGTGGTTCCTGTAATTAAGCAGTGAATACTACTTAGGCAATTTTTTAATATTTGTGTTCAGATTTGGGAAAAAATTGACAAATTATGTGAAAGTGATGCAAATCAGTGGATGCCTTTCATGTCCCACCTCTGTCAATCTCCCCTTTTATTTCTGTATGTTCCTACTTCATGGTTCTGTGTGTCTTCGTCTACTTCTGTAATCAGTTAGTGAATGCAGATGGGACTGTACCCCTTCTCATTGGTGCCTGTGAGACTGGAATTAATGCTTTTACTGGGAAAACAAAACAAAACCAACAACAACCAAAAAAACCCACCAGTGCCAATGCTGTAAGAATTGTGAGCAACAGTCTTTGGTCATAGGACTAGAAAGTGTCTCCCTTCCTTCCTCCTTCTCAAGAGCATGTATAAAGCCATGCTTCAAGCATGGAGAGACACTAGTGGACCAGTAAATTGTCCCGCCTCTAAATACCGTTTACTGTCTACTCTGAGGACTGCTGCTATTGTAGCATTTAAAGCCTTTTATCTTCTGCTATGGCTAGACTGAGAAAGGTGGTGTTTTCTGCCATGGAAGTACTGCCACCTGCTGTCACAGTAGTGCGAGGTATAGGGGGGTGATCTCAACAACCACACATGGACTCACCTTGCTTAAAAAGTGTGGCAATACTGCAAACCATCTTTGCAGAGTAAGGTAGACACATCACCTCGGGGGTGGGAAAGGCCTGTGTTCACAGGGAGGAAGCAAACTTGCTGATTTAAATGAAAGCCTAGAAGGTTTGAAATACTGGTCTATTTAAGCCAGCTGTAGAAACCCAATTATTAAAGTAAAATCCAAGCATTGCAGCTTTTATAGTGCAAAGTTCTCAGAAGTAAGGATGATAAGAGTGTAGGCCTTTTGTTCATGCTATACTGATGGAGCCTTTTTTATGCTTTTTTGTAGAGAAAAAATGGGCTCAGATCTTATGATTGAAACTGCAAGAAATTCCAAATGTCCAAAGGTAAGTAAAATTTTCTAAGGTAAATACTAATTGTGTGTTCCACAAATACTTCTAATAGCTCTCCAAGCTTCTGTATGTCAGAACCCATGCTTTTAACGGATCAAAATTCATTAGATTCTTCAAGTTCTGCAGCAATTTCTCATGTTCTTATTTAATACTTTAATTTAGAATACATTTCAGAGATGTTAAAGGCTTATGAGCAGACAAGCACTAGGTCAACTTCTTGAGGTTGTACGGTGTTGTTTTTTCACGTATGAGAAATCTAGTCATTGGAGATCCTGTCCTTGTAGCTCTGATCTGTGCAGCAAAAGAACAAGATTTCTCCTCGCTTTTATATGGATTATCAGATTTTCTCCCATCACATTCATAGGTCCCAAGATCTCAACTCTTCCTGCTTGATATAAAGGGCATCAATTAATTGGAGGGATGTTATATACAGCAGCAGCACAAGAGTGAAAGATGATAAAGCACGGGTATTTTATTTTTGGTGAAGGGATAGGGTGTGAAGAAAGAAGGGAAATATAATAGCATGTATTTCAGAACAATCTGTAATTAACAGGTGTTTTGGTGTCAGAGCACTATATTCAATACTTTGCTGTTAAATGGAAGATATTCACATTTTTCTAAACATAGAAACATGTGCTTGACTGACTGCGTTCCTAGTCCATGTCTAAAACAAGGACATGAAAAGGCTGGAGTGGTATGTTGCTTTCTGAGAGAGCAGCTATCCTACATTGACTTGAAAGTTATCTTTGAACCGGGATCTTTGGCTTCCTTCCATGTTCTTCAGTAATAAAATGTGAATATAAATAGAGTTGAAACTAACTATTCCTAGTAATAGCTTTGTAGTGCTGGCAGTGGTGGCACTCTTTACAGGCACAGCAAAATCAAAATTCAATAGGCAGTTCTGTGCTGTGCTGCTGTTAAATTTGTGGTGAGATGGATTTTTCCAGAAGGTGCTCAGCGCTTTACAACTGCATCATGAAGTGTATATGGGTATATGGATATATACTCTATGAATTTTTTCAAAGTGTTTTTTTTTTCTTGCTGCTTCTAGTAGTGCTTAGAACCAAACCTTCCTTTTGACAAAAGCAGGAAACTTTTCCTCCATCAAATGATGAAGTATGAGTCACACACGTGTTTTGCTTCTGCATTGTCATACAGAAGTTACACTTTTCTTGTTTTCTATAAGGATGAACTTACTGTGAATTGAATGATTTAACTTGTGTAGTTTAAGAATGGAAATGAATACAGTGATATCACACTGCTGGTCAGCTGCTAGTGCTGTCGAGTAATGTTTCGCCAAAACACTGTGCTCTGTAAAACAGTGAACAAAATAGAATTGACCATCCACGTGGCTGCTGCAGAGTTTCATTCTGACAGCGCCAGCCAGGCTGGGTGCATCATCACTAAAAGATCTTGCACGCTCTAACACTGACCCGCAGTAACTACAGGTACTCTCACCTCATGTGACTTTAACTGCAAGTTGCAAATTTTTTTGCAGTCACGTGTTTTGTTTTCTGGAAATACCATTTTGGCTTTTCAGTGTCCTTACCAAAAACCTTGAAAGATTTAAGCTTGATGATTTTTTTTTTTCTTTGGGAAAGATTCTTCCTGCAGTCATTTAACTCAGGTTGCAATATTAAGGAATCATTTTCTTGGAGAAAGAAACTGAGTGGCATTTGTAACATTGATATTGCATTGTTGCATTGCTAGTTACAGGCTTTTGAGGACAAACTACTATTCATAAAGGTAAAATGTGTTAAAATCACATAGAGGACAGCAGTGTTTAGTTTAAATCTCAGTAGATAGATATTGGTAGAAAGACAATAGCCAGTGGAAACAATTAATTTCAGGTTAAAAATAGCATTTTCTTTAGGGAGATTGGGTGGTTTTTTGTTTGTTTGCTTGTTTTTTGCTTTCACTTTTTAAAATTTAGATAGGTATTACAAAAAAAGGTAAATAATAAACTTGGAAAGATTCCATAGACACGTTTAATGTGTAAATTGAATTTCATATTGTGAGAAGCTGTCATTCTCATTGTTATTATCATCGTATATAACTATTTTTATTCCTCCTAACTCACTAGGTAGCTGCAGTAAGCACCATTGTAAACAGAGGAACACCACTGAAAGCCTTTGTTTTTAGAAACTACAATCACTTTCCTGGTGTTAAGTCTCATTATATTGGAGGCTGTCAGTATAAACTGTGGCAGGCCATTAGAGCATCGTCTGCTGCACCTGGTTACTTTCAGGAATATGTTTTGGGCAATGATCTTCATCAGGTAAGTTGCAATCTTCTCCTTTAGTAAATATTTTTAAATATTATACCTGAGAAAAAAATTATCTGAGTTTCTGAATCAGTACTAAGCAAATAAGTTGGTAGCAGAAGGGAAATCTAGGATGGATAGGTGTAAGAAAGAAAATTTTTTAGCTTGTATAGCCCTTCTAGAACTAGAAGAGGTATAGTCTTAAAAATCTTAATCTTCTCAATACAGCTTAAGCTGTTCTGCTCTTCCTTTCTTCTCTGCCTGGAAGGAAACCTTATATGAGTTGTAAATTGCCTCCGACTTCCTGCTTACAGCTGGTATTTCACTGAGCATTATTTCACTAAACAGATGGTGTAACTTAAAATCTAACAATACCGTAAAGTTTGAAAAAAATCAAGTTATGCTTTTCGGTGTTCCTTTGATTAGCGCATTTCAGTTTACTGTCTACTTTCAGTTCTTTCAATTGATAGCTTATTAAGCTCTACCCTGGTTCTGAGCTAGTAAAACGAATTAAGAAATGCTACGGCAGTAAGATTAATCTCAGAGGACAACTGCAAAAGAAATTCCCTTGAGGATAAAGCAATGTCTCCTGTCAGCAGTGTGTGCTGTTGTATTATAGCTTCTGCTCATGACCCTGATTAGTCCATGCAGGACTAATTAATTTCTTTAGTAGTTTTTTAACTGTTGTGTTCTTGTCTGCCAGTGCCTCTTTAGTCTTCAGCAGGTCTGAGTTTTAAAAAAATCCTTTTTACAGTACACATTAACTAAAAACTGTTAGTATTTCTTTTTAAAAAGACCTAGTGCAAATCTGTGGCAGAAAACTCTACAAAGGGGGACTGAACCTGAGACTTTCCACAAAGACAGTATAGGGTTCTCTAACTTAAAGAAAGTATCTCTTATGTTTCCATCATATTATCTTATATGATGGCATTAGCCTTAACTACGAGAAAGCAAGAATAATGTATTTTGAGTAATATGATGTACCTGGATCACAAAGAGAATTTCCTATGGTGTGCGTTAAAAGGCTGTGTAATCTCATTACCATTGCAATGTGCAAACTGAAGTTTAAAAACTAACATAAATAAGGAGCGTAAGATGAAACAGTGAAGAAGGCATTAGGTAAAGCGATAATGAAGAGAAGCAGTGATACAGAGAAACAGCATTAAATCTGATAAACTAGCATGCTTCCAGTTTTGAATTAACTTTTTTTAAGGAGATGGAATAATTATATTCAACTATGTAAAAGCTCTTCTTGAGTTAGGGGGTGAAGGGAAGGCTTCCCATAGAGGACAGAATGGTGCTACTACATCAACCAGATTCTCAGAGGTCTTAATTTATTTTCTTTTTCACCTTTTTATTTAGGGTCTTTTTTTTTTCTTTTTTTTTTTCTTCACATTCCTTCCCCTTACACTCCCCAGCTTTCCCAGCATGGTACATCTTGTTATCCCCAAAACACTTTAATCAAGTACTACCTGAAAGAAGCAAGTAAGTTTCCAGGTTGTTTTTTTTTGTTGTGTTTTTTTTTTCTTTTTTAAAGCTAAAAATGGAGTGACACATCAGATATTCCAAGCCTAAGCACTGCTTGAAATCCTGAAACATGTTCATCTTCCATCTGGCCAAGCAAAACTGGAAAGGGAGCTGCTCAGCCTTTGGAGCTGTTCCAAGCTGCTCCTCAACTGCTTGAATGGGTCAGTGTGAAGCTATGTCAGGCACTTTTCTTCCTCTTCTCACCTTTCCACCCCCTCTTTCCTTGAATCGAGAGTACATCAAAATCTGTCCATGCTTATGTAGGAAGAATAGCTAAATAAACAACATGGCTTTAAACTTCTTCCCAGTGCTTAGGGAATTATTTGTCTTAACATAGTTTCTAAATTGCCAGACTTGTGTGAAATGCAGTTAAGATTGGTGTTCATTTCATCTATAATTGCTTTGAAGTCCAGTTTGCCAGGCTAAAGAACGTGCAATTAGTGTTAACAAAGATCAGATCCAGTATTTTCAGACACACAGAGCTAGAATGAAGTCTAGTTCATTTTGCCTTACTCCAGAGTCTTTGGACAAAGCCCTTCCATATGATCTCACCAACAGTGTTTCACAGACTTTCCATTCTTTTCTGTTTGGCGCATTTTAATTACTAGAAAGGAAGGGCTTAGGTGTGGTTCACCTTTGTGAGCTAAATATGTTTACAGTGGTAAAATTCTTTTTTGTAATAGAACTAGATTCTAAGTTTTCTGACTTACACTTTCCTATCATCTGGAAAGCTGTCTTCTGCGCAGACGTGATATTTAAACACTTTTGAATTCTTTTAGAAACCAAAGGTTACAATCTGTCATGCGTTTTTCCCCCAGATTATGCTTTTCTTACCATATCTCTCTTTCCATAATTATTTATTTTGTGCAGGGTGTGCTTGGTTTTTTAGAGAGCTGGCTAGCAAGGTGCTACAAGGCAAGTGCCACGTAACTATCTTCATGCAGATCTCTACCTTGGATTATAAATCCACCACTGTACACTGAAGCTGCCTTGAATTATCTTGTTTTAACACTGGGGTAAGAGCCTCTACGCATGTAGCAGACTGTTACCCTATGTTCTTGGGTGTAAGGGTACCTCAGTGGAACATGCAAGGTAATCAAGAGTTTGATCTCTACTGAAGTATCTAAGATTAATTGAAAAGAATACATATACGTAAATAAGTTTTTAAATAGAAACCTAAATGCGGTCATCTCACTGTTTAAAATAGCTTTATGGTTATTTTTGAAGTACGCTAATAACTCTTAGTCCTTAGTTTTTGTTAAGCATCTTTATTCTAGAAGTGCACTGCCATTGACGTGTTAAGTTGTTCAGCCAGGTCATGTGTGATAGTGACATTTGCAGTTGTGGAAACACTCGCTTTTCTTCTGGCTTATCACTTTAAGCCCGTACACTAAAAGATTGGGCTGCTTTTCAACTGCAGAAATAAATGAAGCATAATTTTGAAAAATGCATCAGCACAGTATGCATTAATTGTAAATAATAATCTATGCCAAAGGCTTCAGTTTTGTAGTACAGTATCAGAAAGATGATGGTCTTCTGAGGATTTTTTTTCAATGGATTGGAAGCTTCCAGTAATTAATCAGCATAATCTTTTCTGAACATAAACTGTGCTAGTTTCTTATTAATTTATATCTAATCTACTTCTGCACTGTTAATATTTCTAAATAATTCAAAAATAGATAAGGCCAAACTATAACAATGATTCTAAGTAGTCTGTGAAAATTCAGAATAGGAAATATAACAACATTTACTTGCTGGCTTTGAAGTTTGGAACTCTAAAGGATTATATACAGAGATGAGGTTTTGTATTCGCTAACTAGTCAGTTGTACATTTAAACCTGTGGCCGTTCATCTGATTCGGGAGTCTTCAAACACGTGAAAATACTTACATTGATAATGGAAATTTAGTGGATTTGTTTTATAATCGGCCGACATATTCTTGTTCTATGTTACCTAGCTTTCGTTGAAGTTGAAAGTCCCTTTGCAAACTGTATGCAGTATTTACACCTAGTAGTTATTTGAGATAAATTTTTAAAGATTTTGTGTATGACTGTAGATGTATATGCTGGAATCGTGCCTGAACTGATGTGTAGCTGTTTGCTTTAACCCTTTTCCATAATCTGTATATTTCTATGTTTATATAGGTGTCTGTACACACATGCATGCCCTCTCTCTGGGAACATCCCAGTCTGGCTCCCTGTGCTAGTCACTGTAAACATTCAAGGGGAGTGCAAAGTGTGTTGATTTTTTGAATAAGGTAACACATTATTTTTACAGTTCTTTTGATATAATTGCTTAGAAAGAGGTTTCTAGGTGTGTGAACACCTTTTATTTGTGCTGCAGATAAGATGATGTCAGGTTTGTTAAATTTCTACAAAAAGTAAATAGTTCAAAACCGAATAGCAAGATTTACATTCAGGTCAATCATGCCATGCTATCTGGTTCCACTCTGTTAAGTAGGAAAAAACAGTGCAGCTGTTGGTAGATGAGGGCAGGAGGATTAATATTCTTTGTGGTTCAAAAGAGGAACACATTAACATTCAAAGGGATTTAATCCCTGTAACATGCTTCTCCAAGGAACAGGGCAAGACAAGAGAGACCAAATCATGATGTTACAATACAGAAGCTGTATTGCTACATTTCAGCTTTTTTTATTTTAAAAGCTATTTATGAAGCACTGAGAACTCATAACCCTCTCCCCAGTCCTGTTACAACTAGTGTGTTTTTTTTTTTTCTCCCTGCTTCCCACAGGGAGTATTTGTTTTTATATCTATTCTCCTATTTCTCTCTTTTTTTTCCCTCTGTCGTGTGAAAAGTATCCCAAGTAAATTACAATTAATTAAAAAAGCATTTTGAGATCTAAGAGAATTATTATGCACACTTCATGTACTAGGTTTTACAGTAAAAACTAAATTTGTATCACAGGATTAATTAAAGGGGCAGCAGGGATTGGGAGGGCAGGGAGAGTGTGCGTATGTGATGGATGTAACAAAGTCACAGATTTTTTTTCCCCAAATATACTCACTTTAATACAAAGGACTTGATCACTTTTTTCTTGATAGCTTCTCATAATTTCATTGATGCATTGCAATTCCATGTATTAAACGTTGGTGTTGTCTTATAGTAATGTTCAAATAATCATATTTTCTTTAAGCAAGATCAGGCAGTAAAGCTGTTAAATTGGCAGCTAATGTGTTAGGGGAATTTTAATAAGAAGTGTAACAACGTGTGGTGAGAATACAACCTAGAAATAAAAAAAATAGGTGTGGTACAATAAAAAAACAGGTGTGGTACAATAAAATTTCAAGACTCACCTTCATTTAAAAAATATAATATACAGTTTCTTTGTATTTTTCAAACATTCCCCTTAGGGAAATCTGCAAAACCATTTCATCTTTGTAACATGTTACAGGAGAGGCCTTCAAAAGTGATTCGCTTAGTGGATCCTACCCTAATTGGTTTTACATGGTAGCTTTTAAAATTAGATT